AGTGAGCATAATAAATATATATGTGCACAATGAGAGACCTGTGAAATTTATAAGTCAAGCACTCCAAAAGATGTAAAAATAAATCACAGGCTTAAGAATTATGTTAGGTGACTTTAATAGGTGTCTCTGGAAAAGACAGATCACGGGGAAACAAGGTTAGAGATATAAATAGTACAGTTGGATGGCTTGACCTGATAGACATTTCCAGAGCTCTCCACACAAGTGCAAAACAAATTCACATTCTTTTCAAGCCCACATGGCACATACTCAAAGATAGACAACATGCTGGGACACAAGTTGAACCTGTGTAAATTCAGGCACATAGACATCATACAGACTTTGCTCTCCAAGCACTATGTCATAAGCTGGAAATCAACAAAGGGATGATTAAGAAAACAAGCAAACAATTGGAGGATGAATAATTCTCTATTGCAAAAGGAATGTGTACTGCCCCAGATCAAAGAGGAAACAGGAAGTTTCTAGAATCCAAGGAAAATGAAAATACAACGTACCAAATCCTTTGGGACACAGCAAAGGCATTTATCAGAGGAAGCTTCATAACAATACAGGCACACATGAAAAAGGAAGAGATACTTATGGTTGATATTTTATTACAAAATTACACCAATTAGAGCAGTGTCAACAGGACAATCCTACCGATAGCAAAAGGAAAGAAATAATCAAAATCAGGACTGAGATTCAGGAAGGGAAAAAAATAAAAGTATGGAAAAAATTAATACAGCTGAAAGTTGGTTCTTTGAAATGATTAACAGAATCGGCCGACTGCTGGCAAAACTAATTAAAGAAAGGAAGGAACAAATTTAAATAGCGAGAATGAGGGATGAAACAGGGAACTTTACAACAGACCCTAATGGAGTCAAAAGGAGAATTACACAGTACTATGAAGGCAGTACTCCAATAAATTCAACAACTTGGAAGAAATGGACAAATACGAGGGAAAAAAAACCCTCTCTAGACTATCCCAGATGGATGTCAAGAATGTCAACAGACCCATAGCAATGGAAGGAATAGGCAAGTTTATCAAGGGACTACCGACAGCAAATCCCCTGGGCCAGATGGCTTCACAGTAGAATTCTACCAAGCATTCAGGGAAGAACTGACACCAATCCTATACAAACTCTTCCAGAACATAGAAAAAGATGGCAAACTCCCAAACTCTTTCTATGAAGCTACTATAACTCTGATACCTAAAGTGGGCATGGATCCCACAAGTATTGAGTACTACGGACCAATATTCCTAATGAACATCGATGCAAAAATCTTTAACAAAATACTGGGCAATAGAATACAAAAGCATATATAAAAAATAATTCACCGTGAGCAAGTCGGATTCATACCAGGGATCCAGGGATGATTCAACATACAAAAGACCATTAGTGTTATTGGCTACACTTACATGAAAAATGATAACCACATTCTAATATCAATAGATGCAGAAAAAGCATTTGACAACATCCAATACCCATTCCTGTTTAAGATACTCAAGAAGACATGTGTGGAAGGAAAATTCCTCAATATTATGCAATCTATATACGAAAGACTAACAGCCAATGTGGTAGTCAATGGAGAAAGGACAAAAACAATCCCACTGAAAAAGGGACGTCCCCTGTCCCCACTCGTATTTAACATCCTACTGGAGGTCCTAGCTAACAACCTAAGGCAAAGAAAAGACACCAAAGGTCTTCATCTGGGGAAGGAAGAGGGGAAACTATCATTATTTACCAATGATAGGATTTTATATGTTGAAAATCCACAAAACTCCACAAGTGGAATGGGGGAAGTGATAGAGGAATAGTCTTGGGGATCCAACTAGCGTCCGTAAACCTGCTCTCTTGCGTGACTGTGAGCTCTGTCCCACATGTTCCTGCGACTCTGTCCAATATCTCTTAATGTGACCCCTTTCAGAACAATTGGTCTCGACAATCGGGCACCATCTAGTTCTTCGGGTCTCAGGATTGTTCCTGGGAACTTTCTGAAGCCCCTTCATATTTCATTGCCGACTTTCTGTCTGATTCTTTTATCCACTATCGAAGGTGGGATATTAAAATCTCTAACTAGTGTTCTTGACCAACATCAATCAGGAGGACCCACAAACCAGCACCTCTTTCCCCTCAGGCCCTCTCTGATACTGGGCCCTAAGCTTACGCCAACTGACCTGGCCCAGCAACCCTGGTACTAATGCCAGTTCTTTATTGGGCCAAGAAATGGGACTGCTTTCCACCAAGAGGCCCAGGGAGCATGAGCCGGCTGGGCTTCTTGAAGGAGGGGCTGCATCTGGAGTCATTTGAATTTCTGTAGAACCTCGCAGATTCTTTCTTTGACCCTCGGATCCAGCGTGGAGCAGTCCCACTCCGCCAACTTCGACAGGCGGTCATGGGCCTCAGAGAAGAGGCCTGAGCCTATGGTCAGCTCCACTCTCATGCGCCATTCAGCCAGCTTGGAGCTGTGGAGGAAGACGTTGTAGTTACCCCCCATGGGCTGTGGACAGACAAAGAGAAAGGG